GTTGACTTTCTGTGTGGATGGGCAGCTGGATGTATTGAAACCTGTATTTTGTTCCCATCGAACAAAGTTATATTTCGCCAACAATTGCATGGTTTCTCAGCCAAGGTAGCATGGTCTCAGGTAATCTACTCAAATCTCTCTTTTGCATTATTTAGATCAAAGGTTTGAGTTCAGGTGAAATCGGAGGGGATACGTAGGCTCTACCGAGGTCTATTACCTCCACTCATTATGCGTACCTCGTCCCGTGCTGTAATGTTTGGCTTATATGATAAATTCCAAGTGAGTAGTTGCCTATATTTCAACGATTTCCTTTTGAAAGGTTACGCATAGCTTTGCAACATTCTACATTCAGGCTTCGCTCAGATGTCCCCACTCCCCACCAAATACCTCCTTTACACTTTGTCATGCTCAGGCGGCTTTTCTAGGCAAGTGTTGTGATTTGTGACATATAGTGCCAAATTACCACTATATTTTTGATTCAGCTGGTATATGTGAAGCCTCGCTTTGCCCTTTGGAGCGGGTTCAAGTGTTACTGCAAACCTCTGCTTTCCATGATCGCTTCAAGAATACCGCTGAAACATTTTGGGCATTACGAGTATGTCTGATTTGACGTTGAGGTGGTTGTATGGCAATAAAACTATTTTTAGGCTTTTGGCTACCGAGAGTATTATCGAGGAATCTCTATGGTGATGATAAGAAACAGCCTGTCAAATGCCCTTTTCTTTACACTCAGGGAGCCGTTCAAAAAAGCAGTGAGTGCTCAGATTGTTTTGCCACTGAACTTCAAAACCTACCGTTCCTCTTTTATTTCTTCGCGACTCTTGTTTTGACTTGTCCGTCATGTACGACTAGACCTAAATTTTGCTTTTCTGTTCGTTTTTCGATTGTAAAAAGACAGTCACCAAGCTTGGCTCTTTCTGCAATATTTTTGTAGGGATTTTTTGCTCATATTCTTGTGGCACTTACCAGATTTAATCAAAGCCTCCCTTATCAGCTATTACCGCGGTTGGTTTAGCTGCGATTGATCCAAAAGATTGGCGCTATTCGGCTATCCGGGCCCCAAAATTTTTTTG